AATGAATAAAATAATATAGTTAGCATAAAGAAAGAAAGAATGCCAGAAGGATAAAAAAAAAAAAAAGCAGAACACAGCCACCCAACTTAATCTTCAAGGTTTATGACAATACTTTTGGTTCGAATTTCATATTACACATACCATCACATATCATGTGTTATGTGATTTGATATGCGCCACATGATTTTGTTTATATTTTCTGACCAATCAAAATTAATGTGATTAATTCGAGGGTGACACAATTCGCAATAATCACTGAGTTCAGTGTTCTTGAAGTGCCCCACGATAATTGATGTACAGTTCGTAATGTTACATGAAACTAATGTAGGAAAACCATTACTTAATTCGGTAATTAATTCCCCTAATAACGCCCATTGACGTTATCGCTAGATTATTTTTATTTTGATTTGGTTGGTCAACCATGCCATAGACCAATCTTCGAAGTTTAACGGTTTCTGTTTTATTATATATATAAATGATCAGATTGGTCAAATTGATCCCGATTGTAATCATGGGCCCAAAAAGGATTATAAACAAATCCGAAAACAGCGATACACAATAGCAATAACAATCACCAATGCAGGAAAATATTCAATGATACGTATTTTTTCTCAGCCTCAAATAGGTTTATCAGTAAATGTACTGACTAGCGGATAATTGGTACTTTATTAAAAAAAAAAAAGATTTGTTCATTTATTAACAATAAAGATTTGTTCTTTTATTATTCATAACTTTATTTAAAGATCCCTGTCCGCCTTTCTGAAAAAATTCACATTAAATATATCTCGAAAAACGCATCTATGTCTAACCGACCACTCGGGCCTTTTCCTATTCCTGAGACCTATCACCCAATTATTCAGGGGCTGATAAACATGATTACACGCAATCCCTGGGAGGACAAATTTGTTAAAGCGGTCTCTGACGCCCACAAGACAGGTGTCGAAGATATGGTTAATATAATAACTTTGACTGACTACTACAATTTTCTTCATTACTTGTTGTTGTGGGTACCCACAGAGAATGAACCAGGATCTCTCGTTAGCAATATGCTTTGCGCAATGTACTTTGTTCTCGATCAGAAATCTGTCAAGCCGCTCCAGTCACCCATTATACCTTCGTCGTATCCACCACCGCCGTTGACGGAGCTTTCGCAATGGATAGTCTACTTTGCCTGTGTGATGGGACAATTTCTCAATACACCTCAATCACTTACTGAGGAATCTCTAAAGACTTTTTATATGTCCGATAAGTACAACATGAGTAGTTATGAGCCTCCCCGTGATGGCATTCTTTCTTTCTTTATGCTAACTATATTATTTTATTCATTTTAGTAGCACTGTTGTGCATCGTTTATTATTC